TGGTGAAAGAAAACATATCCTGACTTCCAACTGCATCTCTGAAAACTATTAGTGAAGGTTAACATTGTTTATGTATCTTTTTTTTTTTAGAAATTTGTATTTCTTTTGAATTTTCTACTATTTTGTCCATTTACTTATTGGAGTCTTAGTGTTACATAGTTATTGATACTTACCTATTATTATTATTAATATTAGTGGTTTCTTTATTGATTTTATGGATAAAGGTTATTAATCTGTTTCCAAGCACATTATTATTATTTTCCATGCTGTTGTGTTGTAATTGTTGTTTTATAATTGTGACATAGAGAAGTTAATTTTTCCATCAAAATACATAATTTTATAAAATTTTAAGTACATACTGTCTGTGCTGAATTTTTTTATTGGAAGAACTCAACTAAATGCTGAAGCCATGGGTTTCAAAGAAGTTCTACATTTTTTCATACTTAAAACTATTGATTACCTTTGTGACTTCTTCCACCGCCTTTAAATAAATATTTTTTTCATCGTGAGAAATCAGATGTTTAAGTATGTGTTCCTATCACTTTTTCATGATAAGATTTTTTCATTTAACTTTCAATTCATCTGAATTTTTAAAGCCAGTTACCTAATGGTAAACAAGGATAACTACATAACCAGGGAACCATGATGTTTAAGGTCTTAATCTTAAATTGTATGAAGGCTATTCTATGCACCACGGAGAGGTAAAACTTCTGACATTTTCTTAAGCCTCTGAAGCATATTTTAAATCTTCGGCTTCTAATAAACGGAGTGTAGTAAACGTCAGAATTTGCTAGCCGTTTCTCTGCACTGGAAATAAACGGATCCCATGAACATGATGTGACTGAAAAATTACCCAAGAAAGTGAGAGAATGGTAAGCCGACCTCACCAGCTCTATTGCTACCCATCAGTCAAAATATTCTCTTGGATAAATTTCCAGTTCCACTGGTGTCCATTCACTCTGTCCATATCAGATTGTGGAGTTTTCAGGGACAAGTATTTTACACACTACTGCTTCCCACAATATATCTGCTTAATTCATGTAAAGAATAATTGATTTTCTAATCTCTTTATAATATTTTGGTGAGCTCTGAGTAATAGTGGAGCTAGAACATCTGAAAGGTTTTATTAAATTAGGTTTAGTGTTCAAACCAATTCAAACCTTGTAGCCCTCCACTAAATCCCAAATTACACAATCACTTTAAGAATATATAAGTATTTATTTGATATTTGATCCCTGAATAGGTAAAGATTTTTATAAGCTAAAAAGTTACAAATGAAAATAATTGATTTGACTATTCAAAATTATCAACTTCTTAATGTCAAAGTAGATTCTGAATAAAAGTCAACCAACAAGCTGGGAAATAACAGTAATGTATGTGGCAAAAGTTAATCATTTCCAAATATAAAAGTTTATTTAAATAATGCAATTCTGTCTACTTTCATCTACTCAAGGAAATCACTCCTGCAGCTCTCCCCATTCTCTCATCAATTTTCTTGCTCTATGTCATTCCCATCAGCATTCTGCTATTTCTTCCATCTTAAAAAACAAAGTCTTCTTTTGATTCCACTTCCCTCTACTTCCTTATTCATTCTTGTAGCAAAAATCCTTGAAAAAGGTTTCTCTACTCTCAATTCTTGAATCCTTTTCTCATATTCTCTCTGTAATGCACTCTCATCAGGGTTTTCCTCCTACCACTGTCCTGAGAACGTCCTCATCAAGGTCACAAATGACTTCCATGTTGTCAAATTCATTGGATAATTCTAGGCCCTCATTTTGCCTGACCTTCCAGATTATCAATATAGATGATCCATCCTTCTTCCCTGATTTTCTTTACTTGGCTTCTAGGGAACCATACTCTTTTGGTCCTAACTTCTCTCCACCTCCTTAGTCACGTCTCAGTCTCCTTAGATGGTTCCTCTTTCCTCTCTCTCACATTAACCTTTTAGTGTTGGAGTGTCCCAGACTGAGTCCTTGGCTCTCTTCTCTATCCATACTCCCTCTCTTGGGAATCCCTAAATACCATCCAGGTCTCTCTTCTGAACTCTAGGCTTGCTTATTCAATTGTCTTCTTGATATGTCCACTTGGATATCTAAGAGCTCAAATTTAGCCTATCTTAAACCCCATTCCTGATACTCCCTCCAAAATGGCCTTTCATTTGCACCTTCTGCACCTCAGTTAAGGGCATTTCCAATGTCTTGCTGCTCAGGCCACAAATCTTGGAGTCCTTCTTCCCTTCTACCACAGCCAGTGTGTCAGCAATTGAAAAACATCCGGAAGCCCATTGCCACTCCTGCTGCACATCCCTGGGGAGAGCCATTATACTCTCATGCATGGATTATTTTCATCACCTCTCAAGAGGGCTTTCCCACAGTCTACTGTCACCATAGTAGCCAGAATATACCATCTTTAAATCTAGTCAAATCGGGCCACTCTTCCCTTAAGACCCTGAAATGGTTTCCCATTTCACCCAGAGTAAAAGCCAAAATCTTTACAATGGCCCATGAGACTCTATACTATTTACCCATTCTCTTTTCCATTCCTTCTCTGACCTCAGCGCCTCTAAATTACCCCCTTCACTCCTCCTCACTCACACTGCCTCAGATATCATTTCCTGGGCCCCGAACATGCCAGAGTGCTGCTGCATTAGGGCTTTTGCCTTTGCTATGCCCCAGCAATCTTCCCTAGACACCTGCTTGTCTCCTTCAGGTCTTTGCTCAAATGTTGATTTATCTTCACTGCTTAGCTTGACTGTCCATTTTAAATGGCATCCTGTTTAGCTCCTGCCTGTCTCCACACTCCTGCTTCACCTTAACTTGCCTTAGTCTTTCTTGTTTTCCCTGTAGCACTCATTAGTGTCTAACATACTAGAGTTCACTGACTTACTATAATGGGTTTTGTTTGTTTTGGTCTGTCTACTCCTGAAGAATTTAAAACTCCACAGAGCCTAGAATTTTAGTCTGTTTTGTTTGCTGATGTACCTCAAACACTTAACTACACAAAACAGATGCTTAATAAGTATCTGTAGAATGAATGAATTAATTAATTGATAAGAAAGATAGTAACAGCCATTAGATCAATGTTGGCAGCATCTGATTCCATCTGCCTGGGTGTGTTGTTCTTGGGAAGTGAGCTAAGCCCCTGAAGGAAGGTGGTAAGGATATAATTTAGAGGTCTGACACCATCAGTCACAATGTATACAGGATTCCTTGGAAGGTGCCACTTTAGAGAGTTGACAGAAAATAAATGGCAGTATCATCAACTTCTTATAACTTCCTCCATCAGTGAAAAAAACTCTTAGGCTGTAGATGCTTCAGTAGAAATAATCTCTATGTAAGATTGATCCCATTTTTTAAAATATAAAATGCTACTGAATATGCCACATTTTCATTTTTCTGACATAACCAGATCTCAAAACTATCTGCAAACTACTTTGGAGTTAAATTAAGTTTCAAAAAATATGAGAAAGTCTCCTTGATTATTTTAATCAAATTATTCATAATTTCCAATCATTTAAAAATTTAAGGGAAGTACATAACAATACAGTCCTGCCTCAAGAAACAAGAACAATCCCAAATAAATAGTCTAAGCCCAATTAAAGAAACTAGAAAAAGAGGAACAAATGACACCCAAAATTACTAGGAGGGACATAACAAAGATCAGAGCAGAAATAAATAAAATATAACAGAATAAGACAGTAGAAAAAAATCAATGAAAATAAGAGCTGGGTCTTTGAGAAAATAAATAAAATAGATAAAATCAAATAAATCAAACACTGCAAATTTAACTTTGGGCAAAAACATTTCATTTTGCATTTATATGATTAATAGTAAAGGCAAATATTTTTGTCATGTTAATTTGGTTCTTTGTATTTCTTTGTACAAAGTAAATTGTACAAAGCTTTAGCCCATTTCTATATTAAGGTGTGCTTGCATCTCCAATTTAGAATGTACTAATGACAAAAAGTAAGAGTTGGATTTTCTTTAACCTTCAACTGTTTCATAGAATCAGCAGAATGAAGACCTCCCTAAAGAATGCCATGCCAATAATTTCACTTTTCAGACCGGAAAACTTCAGGAGCCATTCTCAAGAATGTTTGAAAAAAACTACCTTTATGAGGGGTTAGCTAATTGGCATGAGTGAAGGACAGCTGACAATGGATGCTCTTTTTTTATTTCTTCATAAAGCCCCCCTGACTGGATAGCAGGGAAGAGGAGGAGAGAAGGAGGTAGACCATTTTTTTTAAAAAACAATTCCCTTTAAGCAGTGCTATGGAAGTAATATTGATAAAGGGAGGCCATGAAATATCACTGGATTCAAAGGTTTTCTCTATAGGGCAATGTTTGACAAGGTCACATGGACCTATTAACCAAGGCGTCCATGTAGGAGAGGCAAATGAAATGCCCGGGGTCTTCTGGTAAACTGCAATGGCTATTAAAATGGTCACAGCGGTAATTACTATTTGTTCCTAGATGTGCTATGTTCCTGCACCAGTTAAGGTGCATCATTTGTAACTATAGATACCAAGGTAAGTTAAAAACATTGTTTATTAAAACATTATAATCACATACATTTCTACGTGCGCATAAAAGGAAGGATGAAAGAAACTCACAAAAGTACTATGAATGTTTTGGGTTTTCATTTTTATATTTGGCTATATTCTCTAAGTATTCTGCAGTGAGCATTGCTACATTTAAAAATAAGGAAAGTACTAATAATGCTATTCAAAAATTTAACCACACAAAAATTAATTAATAGCAGAGATCACATCGCTTGGGTTCTGCCTCTTTAGGCATCCTGACATTCACAACGTTTCTTATGCTTCTATTTGCTTGTTGTTTGTTTTAAATCCAATAATTTGTTAGAGTTAAAATTTGTCAGAGTTAAAAGTCATGAACTAGACCCTTGATTTAGAATATTTTTAAATAAATATAAAAGAGATAAGGGTTCTGTAATGAGTTAGTTGGAATTAATCAAAGATAAAGCCTGTATTTCCTTACCTTTATAAATGAAATGGGAAGTCATCTGTAGTTGTTCATGATGGGTGGCCTGTTACTCATTACTGAAACTGTTTTCCTTCCCAGGTTCCTGTTAAAATAGATATCACTGGTTATTATTTATTCATATCTTCACCTCATCTCCCATAAAGGATCAGGGGTGGCTATAGAGATACATACAAAGCAATCAATTAAAACTAAGATACAGGAAGCAAAGTGTATGACAGAAAATAAAGACAGGGAACAAGATGACACCAGCACTATGGGCTGTGCATAGAATGTTAAGCCATGTGACCCAGTATAGTCATTGAACACCCTGTACAGTCTCCAGTTTGACTCTGAGATTCCTAGTGGCCACAGCAAAGGAAGTATTGATCAGTTACCTAAATGCCCAATGTCCATAAGATAAAAGAGACCAGTTGTTCAAACACACCACAGATGTCAGGGGGTTGAGGCTGGAGTGGAAATTTCTTCTGTTGGTCTTCAGAAAAGAGACCCCATGTGATGTGTGGACAATTTTTCAATATTATCCCTGTGATACATGAGGATTTTTCAGATGACACAAGTTCAAAGAACTTTTGCTGTATTTTTTTAATGTTTTTATATAGCACAGACTCTTGGCTCATGATAACCAGTTTTAAAAATACAGAGGTAAACACATTATCTGATAAGGGGTTAATATCCAAAATATATAAAGAACTCAGATGCCTTAACACCCAAGAAACAAATAACTCGATTAAAAAATGGGCAGAGGATCTGAACAGACCCTTCTCTGAAGGAAAAATTCGGATGACCAACAGGCACATGAAAAGATGCTCCACATCACTAATTATCAGGGAAATGCAAATTAAAACCATGATGAGATATCACCTCACACCAGTTAGGATGGCCACCATCCAAAAGACAAGAAACAGGAAATGCTGGTGAGGATGCAGAGAAAGGGGAACCCTACTAGACAGTTGCTGGAATGTAAATTAGTTCAACTATGCAGAAAGCACTATGGAGGTTCCTCAAAAAACTAAAAATAGAAATACCATTTGACCCAGGAATTCCACTCCTAGGAATTTACCCAAAGAAAACAAGATCCCAGACACAAAAAAAGACACATGCATCCCTATGTTTATCGCAGCACTATTTACAATAGGAAAGATATGGAATCAACCTAAGTGTCTATCAGTAGATGAATGGATAAAGAGGTAGTACATATACACAATAGAATATTATTCAGCCATAAAAAGAAAACAAATCCTACCATTTACAACAACGTGGATGGAGCTGGAGGATATTATGCTCAGTGAAATAAGCCAGGCAGAGAAAGACAAGTACCAAATACTCATTTGTGGAGTATAACAACAAAGCAAAACTAAAGGAACAAAACAGCAGCAGACTCACAGACTCCAAGAAGAGACTAGCGGTTACCAAAGGGACGGGGTTGGGGAAGGTAGAGGGGGAAGGAGGGAGAGGGAATTAAGAGGCACTAAAATTCATAATCACAATATAGGTAGGTCACGAGGAAGGCAGTACAGCAGGGAGAAGACAAGTAATGACTCTATAGCATCTTAGTACACTGAAGACAGTGACTGCAACGGGGGTGAGGTGAGGACTTGATAATATGGGTGAATGCTGAAACCACAGTGTTGTTCATGTGAAACCTTCATAAGATTGTATATGATACTTTAGTAAAAAAAATATGGAGAGGTATAAATTAAAAATAAGTAAGGTTCCACTTGAATCTCCCACCTGAGATAACCAATGTTAATAGGTTGTTGAATATCTTTCCAAAATCTTCCTTGTGCTAGTTTACATAAACAGGTACACACACTCTGCCACTTACTAGTATATCTTAGATATTTTTTTCAAATCTATGTATCTATCTCATTTTAAAGTAACTATCACTTTGCACAAATGAATACACCATCATTTAATCACCCACTCCTTGTGGATGAACATTCAGAGTGTCTCCAGGTTTGGCTTCTATAACCAGAGCAGGAATTAACAGCCTTGTGCAAACATCTTTAAAGTTCTAGTACTTCTACTTCTGTGGGAAAGAATCCTAGAAGTTGGGCCAAACTTGATAAGCACATTAGCTAGTTGAAGGACCATTGCTACATTTCTCTCTGTGAAAGGTTGAAGCAATCAGTCCAACGGTGCATGAATAATACTTGCTTACTGACACACTTATCAGCACTGGATGTTTGCCATCTTTAAAATGTTTGCCAATCTGATGAGCAGATAATGGCATTTCAGTTTGTAATTTAGGGTCCCTTTCCACTAACGGGGCTTATCCTTTCCACAAGTTTATTGGTGACTTATGTTTCCAGTTGGTGCGCTTTGCTTATTTATATACTGTACTGTAAAAAATTAATTTATTTTATAATCAATTTATAACATCTCCTAACATATTAAACATTAACTTTGTCATATGAGTTGCAAGGTATTATTCATCTTTTGGCTTTGTTTATGGTATCTTATCATGTCGACATTTTAACTTTTACATAGTAAAATCTGCTAATTTTTCCTTTATGGATTATGGCTTTACTGTCCTACTTGGTAAGAAACCAACCTGATGTTAGACATTTATTTTCCTATATTCTTTCTTATACCTTTACTGTTCTATTTTTAACATTGGATCTTTACTCCAAATGGAATCTGACCTCATCTTCCCCTAGACGGACAGCTCAAATTGCCTCAGCATTGTTTACTTTAATAACCTATTTTTTCCTTACTGGAAAGCTATGCCACTTTGAGCATATATTAATTCTTCCTATGTACTTCAATCTATTTCTGGACTATTATATCCCAAACACTCGTTGATTCTTGAGCTAATGTCATACTGTCTTAATATGATAGTAAGTTTTGATATCTACTGGTGCAAATTGCCCATACAGACTATTTTTCTTCCAAGTTTAGGTGGGAAGGGAGGGACAAGGGTGGGGAAAAAGAAAGGGGGCATTACGATCAGCATATCTAGTGTGTGTGGGGCACGGGGAGGGCTGTGAAACACAGAGAAGACAAATAGTGATTTTACAGCATCTTACTACGCTGATGGACAGTAACTGTGAAGGGGTATGTGGGGGGGACTTGGTGAAGGGGGGAGCCTAGTAAACATAATGTTCTTCATGTAACTGTAGATTAATAACAAAATAAAAAAATAAAGAATGAAAGCAATTTTCTTGCATTTACGTTTTTATAAAATCTTATTGATTAATCTGATTACATGCCCCCCCCATCAAGTTGGGGTCCTGACTGGAATTATATTAAACTGGTGTATTAATTCGGGAAGGATTGATATATTTGGAATTTTAAGTTTTCCCACTCAAAAACAGACATAGTGCTGTATTTCTTCAAATGTTATTTTGTCTTTCATTACAATGTTATACTTTCTGTATTTATGTTATGTCTTACTAAATTCATTCCTAGATATTTTACTTTGCCACTCTTTCCCACAGGGATTTTTCTACTTGCATTTCTAACCAGTTATTAATTCATATAAAGAAAAATGACTGGGTGTTATGTAATATCTTTCACCTAGTTATTTTATCACATTCTCTCATAGGATTTTAAGAGATTTTAGGTAGAGGCTTGATCATAGCAACTGCAATATTTATACAGCTTATCTCTATTTCTTTTCTCATTGCACTCACTGAACTTCTAAAACAATGTTGAGTAATAGCAATTGAGTAGTAGAGGTAGTGCCAGGCATTCATAACATAATCCTTTGGTAGTTGCCATCCAATATAATGCTTCTGTTTGGTACCATAGGAGGTTCTTTCTACTATATCCTAATTTAATTTTTTATTAGGAATGTCTATTAATTATATGAAATGTTTCTCAAAAACAGTTGGTATAATCACAAACTGTTATTCTCTATTGTGCTATGTCAATATATAAAATGGGAAGGTTTCATAATGCAAAATCATTCTTAGATTTCTAGAATAAACTCTAACTTGGATTTTATTTTCTACTAGTCTTCTAAGGATATTTTCATGAGTAAAACTGGACAATTGTCCCATGTTAATCAGGTTTTGGTATTAAGGAATTGATATTTTCCATAAAATTGGAAGGCATTCTCTATATACACTCAGATTTTTTCTGTGATTATTCATTTCTTGGAACTTATAACCTCTCTTTGGGTGAAATTTTAGTAGTTATAATTATTATTTTTTAGAAAACCATCAATTTCCTTTATATTTTTTAATTTGTTGCCATAAAGTTGCACATCATATTCTCTTACCAAATTTCTTTAACCTTTCTGGGATTCAGGTAATGTTTTTGCCTTATTCCTGATGTGTTGTGTATGTGCGCATTTGTATATATTGTCTACATACATATATATATAGTGTATATATGTATTATATATATTGCATGTCCATATATTCTTAATGTTATGTATATTTTTTCATTGGTCAGATTTCCCCTACTGTTTGTGGTCATTTCCATTAATTTTAGCTTTTAGTGTTAATAATATCTTTTCATTTAACTTTTAAAAAAATCTCCTAGATGCAATAGTTTATTTTCATCCTTCTACCAAAGTCACTTAGACTATAAAGTATTCCTAATAGATTAACGATTTCCCCTTAGGTTTTGATGTGAAGTGTTTTGTTTAATTTCCAAATCATCTGTCATTTGGATGTGATTTTCAATTTGATCCAGGAATCATCTATAAGAGGGTTTCTTAATTTCAAGTATTTACATTTTAACTAATATTCTTTCATTTCTAATTTCTTGTTTTGTCACACTGGGGTAAAATGGGACAAGTAACATATCTTTTTTTCTCCCCAAATTAAGTTTATTCCTAGGGTCATAGAAATGGACTTTTTGTAAATCTTTCATAGACACAAGAGAAAAAATGCCCATGGTATAAAACACTACATTATTGCAACCCTATATCATTGTCTACTTTGTCAAATTATGAAAGAAATACATTAAAATTCCCTACTATGATTATAGTTTTATCATATTCTCCTTTCTCCTTTTTGTTTTTTGCCTTAAAATTTCTGTATCTAAGCTGGCCCATGTATGATATGTGCATAATAGTGTCTTTGTGGAATGTATTCTTTGTTCTTAAAAGTATCTTTTCTAACTTAATCA